GAAATCAGCTGTAGAGCCCTGCTAGCTGTTGTTTTGACAGACAATCAGGTACAATCTTAGGTACGCAAGTTCGCTGTATGACGTTCCATCTGGTGCGCTTTTTCCTTTTTTGACCGCACATGCGCACCGCTTATGTGCAACTCTGTTTATAATTTCTTTTTGTTTGAAATGTGTCATAGTGTGTGTATGCGTCATCAGTCACTGTGACAAACATTTTACTATAGTGTAAGACAACTACACAGCACTGAAATCGTGTTTATGTTCATTTTGTAGATTCAAAGATGGTCTTTCAGCCCTTCAGTTCTTGACTGCACTACAGCAACACCCTACTCTGCTGAGCCCTGTCCTGTGCCACTGTGAAAAGCCACTCACTGGCTTTGAACTTGAGAGACTCTTCAAACCTCAACTCAGCCCTTCAGGGACTAATAGGAGAATAAAAGAAGGTCAAACCTTGTCCTACTGGGCAGACTATCTCCTTGATTGTGAAGGTTTGTAAGTTTGTTGTACCTACTTTGAAAACTATATTACTCTGGTATGAACATGTATTTCTTTGCAGAAGGCAAAGCTGCTGTGTCTCTGGAGAACATTTTGATGTTTGCAACTGGGCTGACATCACTCCCCCCATCTGGCTTGGAACCATTGCCTCAAATGGAGTTCCTGGATGACTCTCCATTCCCAATGGCAAATACATGTTCAAATGTATTAAAATTACCACTCCTGGATTCATACAGTGTGTTTAAGTCACAAGTGGACTTTGGAATTCAAAATAGTCCAGGATTTGGTTGTCTGTAAACCATATGGCTGGAAAGAATTTTTCCAGCATATAAAAATGTCCATCTAACAGTCTTTCAATGTTATATCTGGCAAAAACACGAACACCTGAAACACTAAGCAATTGCAGAATCTGTCAGATTATTAATCTTGTTAGCCTGGTAGTTTTCCTTGTTTCAAAAGATTTTACAAATTTTAAATTGTCTTACTGCACTGACAAATTTGTCTTACTGCACTGACAAATTTGTCTTACTGCACTGACAAATTTGTCTTACTGC